CACACCTACCCAATAAGGAACCCACACTCTCCGATGGAGAGTCAATAAACCCCAGCTATCATAATCGAATGAAGCCACCTGACCTACTATGTGCTCACTCTTTCGGTGCTATTCCTTCATAGCCTCGACCTGAGCCTCTCGAATTTGTTCCAAGATTGGAGTAATCACTGTCATCCTCATACAGATATCCCTGATCGGAGCCGCGACCGCCTTGCGACTGAGAGCATCGGCCACCACATTGGCCTTTTCCGGATGGTAAAGGATCTCACAATTATAATCCTTCACCGCATCCAACCACCGACACTGTGTCATATTCAGATTCGGCTGATCCATCAAGTACCTCAGGCTCTTGTGATCCGTGTAAATAGTACAACAAACCCCATAGAGGTAATGTAGCCTAATCTTGAGGGCGAAAACCACAACCTGTTAGATTAGGTGTCTAAGCCCATAACTATAATTGGTATGTACTTGACCCGAGAGTAGCATGGTCCATTTGGGTTGCCTTCACCAGAGCAATTTGATAGGATGGACTTTTGAGAAGAGGTTATTTATGATTTATTAATATATTATAAGTTCTAATATATTAATATGAAATCATGTTATTTAATTAGTATTGATTGTGATCAAAAGAGACTAATTAAATTAACAGGGACTGATTATGTAAATCAGTGATATATATTGTTTGGGATATTGATCGATGATAGGCTAAGTTTATGTAAGTATACATAAAGAGTTAGCCCACATGAAATATGGATCATAACCCAAGTGTATGGATTAGGGTTTACCCATGACTCTTTGATTCCTACACTATATATATGACACCCTTTTGGCCTAAAATTGGTTGAACATGTATTCTTGGAGAAGCATAGCCCAATTTTAGTGCTCCATATTCTCTCTCAAAAGTCCTCCATTTGTTCATGGTGTTTGTGAACAATCTGAGGCATCACATTTCAGGTGCAAAGTTCTTAAAGGCCAAAACTACAAGCTACAACAAAGAGGTAATTCTATAACTCAATTCTATGTTGTTTATGTCAATTGTATGATAGTTATAGGCTTCATGCTTTGGAAACAATATTGCATGTATAATTAGAGAAAACATAGATCCAAAGTAATTAGGGTTGTATGTGCACTATAGGATGTTGTAGTATACAAAACCCTTCATTGGTATCAGAGACTAGGATTGTTTTCTATTATATTTGATGCTTGCTATTTTTCAAAGTTGAAAAAATCGATTTTCTAGCCTCTGACTGATGAACTCGCCGAGTCCACTGGCTGACTCGACGAGTCCACTCAGTAAAAGGGAAACTTGACGAGTCATGATCATGCACTCGACGAGTTGATGCCTCTGGTTGCAGAATTTCGATTTTTTGGCCAGAATTGGTTTAGGATCATTACCACAAAATGTTTTGTAATCATAAAAAATGTATTTTCTGATTTGGTAATGTTGATCCTCATCCAATCAAAGGACAATTGTCAAATTTTAAGATAATAAGATAATTATTTGTATTATTTGATATGAATTGTCTTGCTATATGAGTTAATTTAGATCATGAAAAATTACATGATAATTTTGCTTGGTAAAATTGATCTTAAATGTTTTTTAAAGTCCTCCATAACTTGTCCTCAAGTTATGGAACATGAAAAGTTTTTTCATAAAAAAAATCACATTAACTCATAAGTTATGGAAAACCAAAAGGTTTTAAAGAGTTACAAAACTTGTCCTCAAGTTTTGGTATTTGAAAAGTCTCAAATTAAGAAACTCTTGTAAATAAAAGGTGTAACTCTTGGGTTCATAAATTAAAAATTAATTAAATAGTTTTTAATTTTGAATTTTATTTAGAACCTTGATGTTTTTGAATAGTTCAAATTACACCTTATGGACTTTGTTAAATTAATTAAAGTGTTTAATTAAAAGAGATTTAATAATTCCATAATGACATGGTTTAAGTTTAATTAAATTAAGAGTATAATTTATTAATGGATTAAACCATCTAGTATTTTAAAAGTGTAAAATACACCCTTATACTATATAAAATTAAAAGTTTAATATATTATATATGTATAAGTTAAAAGTCAGTCTTACCGCTAGTAGGTCTCATTCACGAAGCCGGTCTATAAGGGGGGTATAAGGTTACTGCCTATAAAATGGTGGTTTAATGGGTGTCCACTCTCACCCACCGCTTCCTTGACCGGTGGAGGGTCGTTAGCCAAACGGGTAGGATAGGACACTAAACCCTCATTAAAGTATAATGAATTATAAAGTAACTAAATATTTTATAAATTCCCAGTCTTAGTTACTTTAGGAAAAATGTGAATTTGATGCTAACCCATGAAATTGCACTTTGCACCTTGCCAAGTCGTTAGTGGAGCGTGTGTGGTTAACCGACACACTAACTTGGACTAACAAGGGTGGCAAAGGGTATCTCGATGTTTGTCATAGATCAATGGAGCGTGTGTGGTTAACCGACACATTGATTAGGTGATAAATGACATCGAGAGTACCAAGCTAATTTGCATGGTTATTCACACATTGTTTGTGATCATCGGTATCTCAGTCACAAAATTGAAGGGCATAATCGAGATTAAACATGCCATTGAAAATTTCAATGAATCTCAAAAGATGTAGGAATTTCAATTCATTTAAAACTTAATAATCAATTTCGTTTTTCATGGTGGAAATTGGTAAATCGTCATTTACCTACCTTCAAATAATTTGCAATTGGATTACGACATCCCTCTTCCGAATTGTAAGTTATTGTGTTGGTCCTAGCCTTAATATTTAATTTGGGTGTTATATTAAGGACATAAATTAACTAAACTTGAATTTCTCCCTTGTAGATGTCTAGTTCTGACAACTATGGTCTTCACAAATCTTTTCATTATAAAGATGATATTCCACAAGACGATCAAGGTGAAAGATTAATCCCTTCTTCGTGTTGTAGTGGTACTTCACTTCCTCCGCCTCCTCCAATAATTCTCCCTAACCTACAAGTTCAAAGACTTGAAAAGTTCAAGATCACTCAAGCCCTATTGGCTAGCAAACACCAAGATGGAAGGTCTGTGTGTGCACATGTATTGGAGGTGAAGTCACACACTGACAGGCTGAGAATGTTAGGAGTCATTGTGTCGAGAAAGTTGGTTGTTGACTTGGTTCTTCAATCCCTTCCTTAGTCGTATAGTCATTGTGTCGAGAAAGTTGGTTGTTGACTTGGTTCTTCAATCCCTTCACTGGTCGTATAGTCATTGTGTCGAGAAAGTTGGTTGTCGAGAAAGTTTGCAGTAAAAGGTATGCAGTTGTACAAGAGAGGATATCTAGTGCCATGGCTCAGATGCATCTCACACGGTGAAGGACAAACCCTCTTGGAGGAAAGCCATTCAGGTGAAGTAGGAGCACACGAGGGGGCACAGGCACTCACGGTAAAAATAGTTCGTCTAGGCGTATACTGGCCCAACGTATACAAAGACGCGGCCAAAGTTACCAAGAAATGCCTGGAATACCAGGCATTCACCCCGTTCCAGAACCAGCCAACAACAATCCTGACCATCATTAGCAGCCCATGGCCCTTTCACCAATGAGGCATTAACATCGTAGGGCCGTTCCCGGCTGCCCCAGGAGGACTGAAGTTCCTACTGGTCGCAGTTGGTTACTTCACGAAATAGATTGAAGCGGAGCCCTTAGCCACAGTCACGGGCAAGCAGATGATCCGGTTTATGTGGAAGAACATCCTAACCCGGTTCGGCACTCCCAAAGTCCTAATAAGCGACAATGGCACCCAATTTGAGGGAAGTCCCTTCAAATAATTGTGAGGGGAGAAACAGATCCACCATCGCTTTACCTCAGTTGCGTACCCCCAAGCGAACGGCCAAACCGAAATAACAAACAAAACCATCGTGAATGGGCTTAAGAAACGCCTGATGAAAACAAAGGGGGCCTGGACGGAAGAACTGCCAACAGTGTTGTGGTCGTACCGTACCACCGCAAGGTCAGGAACGGGAGAGACACCCTTCAACCTGACATACGGCACAGAGGTGGTGCTCCCACTCCAGATTTCGAGCGAATAATTGGTGGTAACCAGTTTCGACGCAGACTCGAACGAGGCAGAACGACAGCAAGACCTGGACATGCTTGACGAGAAACGTGAAGCCACCTAACTACGACAAGCGGCCTACAAAGCCCGTGCAGAAAACTTTTACAAAAAACGGGTGTAGGTAAAGAACTTCAAGATAGGAGAATGGGTGCTAAGGAAGAACGAATCTAGCTGCTCGGAGCCACTGGGCAAGCTAAGTGTGGCCTAGGAAGGACCATACAAGGTAGTAGGGGAGCATCGAGACAGAGAATATACGCTAGAAGCACAAGACGGGAAGCGGATACCTCGGACATGGAACGCGCACAGCATGCGCCATTTTTATTTGTAAAAATGGGGGATGTAGTGGCGCCCGGGCTACCGTCCTAGGAACCACACCTCGGCCAAGCGCCGGCACAACTATCTTTCGGTTATCACCAAAATGTTCCGGTTAATAAAATTTCATGAGTCATGAATAAAGTAACAGTGACCAACTTTATGTACCAAAATACGCACATACGTGTAAAAACACAGAGAGAAAGAGTTGCGTGTGTTTACCAAATGGAGATATGGGTTGATCACCCACATCATTTGAGCAAAACAAACCGCTAACATGCAACCATAAATCTCAGAAGTTTATAACCCCTCTCTGTAAACATGTCGATTCAAACAGCAACAAAGCCTCCAGGCTCTTCAACCAGACATACTTGAAGGGTTCGAAGGATCATAACCTTCCCCTCACAATTTAACATACATAAGTCCAGGGAGTCTCGAGGTGACGATCTCGACTCACTTTAAGCATACACAAAAGAGAGGCAATTGGCCACTTGACCAAAAGCCAAGAGCAAGGCCCGCAAAACAATCTTTAGAAACAAAAAGAAACACTCACAAAAATGGGTGAACGCTATGAAAAAACAATCAGTCTTTAAACAAAGATCAACCATGGCGGGGACGAGCCAAGTCAGCGCCCTCGACACCACCATCTGAAGCAAGTTCCTCCTCCTCGGAATATAGTTGGCGAAGGTTAGCAAGACCGAGCTCGCCCAAGCGAAGATAGGACACAAAGTCTGTCTCGGCAAAAGCCCTGATGGAAGCTTGCATCGCTTCAACAGATCGTGCCACACCATTCGGTTCAGACAAGCCGAGACCACCGCTAGTCGGCCACCCTCGCGCCACCTGCTTCCCACTCTTTATACCAGCAGCCACACACGCGACCTTCACGCGTTGGATTCCAAGCGCGAACTAAATGCTCTCGACAACACGGTCCACCACACGAACCACCCCCTTTTGAAGGACCCAAGCCAAATCAACCTCCAAGATCTTCCTCCTCGAAACCTTAGTCGCCAGCTTATCGTCCTGAAACGCCAAGCGCTCCGCTAATGCTTCTTCTCCGAGCTCAAACTCTGGACCTGCTGGGACAAACGATTGACCTCCCCGTCCAGAGTTGCCACCTGATCCTCGACAACAGATTTCTACACGGATAATACGAGGATGCGTTCATCGAACTTGCGCATGTCTTCAGATCGGGTGCTGCAATTGTCGGGAGCCAGGTCCGACCAAATCGCCGTTAACCCACAACTACAGTTCCTGCCAGTTCTTCCTAGACGCCTTCTGATTAACTATAAAGGCGTGCGTACTGCGGTGCTGGGAAAATGTGTGAACACCCGAATGGGTAGACGAATTGACGAAAGATTGGAATGCTCGAAATTGGGGAAGGACACCCAACGCCCGACACCCCAACTCAAACCCAACTATCTTGTTCACAACGTTTTTGGGTCAATTCGTGAATAGAGAAACCATATTTTCACATAACCTCGTCGAAGAAATCTGAAACAGGAAGACGAAACCCGACCTCGAAAATCGTCATAGGAATACCAACCTTCCCCGCCGGTGGTTAATAAATCGTAGACCCTTCTAGCGGTAATTGAACTTCATGCTCAGGCATAAACCCAAACCAGAACTCAAGAGACTCGAACTCGTCAGGCGTAGGGGCGGTTCCGGATCTGGTGAGGGTCATCGGGAATCGAAGAAGAAAGGCGTAGGAGAAAGAAAAAGCGACAAAGGAGAACGAGATGGCTGATATACGGAAAAATGAAGCACGTAATTGTTCCTAAAAATAAGGGACCCTTAAATAAGTCGCGAAGTGATGGAACCGAACCGTTCCGAAGGCGGAAACTATCTGGCCAGAACGGCTCTATTACGTCAGAAATGCGTCACGAACCGTTCTCACCAAACACGTGCCCAAATCCACGCTAGAACAACTCAGCTAGCTCAAGCAAACGCTAGCATTTACTAGCCTAGGGGACTTGTTAACGTATCTAACCAAGAATACATCAAAGGGTAACGGAAGCGTCAACCATAAAACAACCTGATCAAGGATTGCCACTTGGACGAGTGCCAGACCCGAACCATCGCCCAAGAACCCTCGCGTACTCATCCTCGTATTCCGCTAATCAGGGACAACCCTCCAGAAATGGGGCCTACGTCTCCCACTGGACAAAAGAGTACTTACAGCTCCCACAGAGACAAGGATAGTGCTCTAAATCCCGCCTCCCGACAACGTTGCACCAATAACAAACAACCATGTGCGGGGCACGTCCCACCAATGAAAAACCTCCACGATCTGCAGGACCTGAAAAGGTAAAGGATATTGTCGGGGATTTATTCCCCTAAATACATGTATGAAAAGGTTCCTTCTCCTCCAAGAGAATGGACCGAGAATCTTCTACTTCTCTCCTGCACTTGAATAGACTTGATCTCTCTTCTCTCAAGGAAAAGAAAAACTAACTTGACCGTCGGAGCTTAGTTCCGGGAGACCTTCTCGGACGAAGCCTAACAAATTTCTTCTCTTGTACTGTGATCCTCAGGCTTGCTTCTTCGGTTGCCAAAGAAAACGGAGTCAAGTCGGAAACTTATCACAACAACAATATAGGTGAGTCGACTATGATATTGGAAGCTGTTGCATCGTAGGATTTGTAGATATGACATTCGTTCTTTAGAGTTGTAGGGTCTAACAATAACTGTAATGTTCTTGGCCAATCCTCCATTTTCAACGATATATGGACCCGAAAAGCACCTGATATGTCTGTCACAGTGAACGAGCATTCGTAGAAACATGGTTACTACCTTTGTGATGGCATACGCGGTACCTCAAACTGAAAAAGCAAAGTTATTCACAAAAAGACAAGAATATGTTAGAGAGGATATACAAAGGGCATTTGGAGTCCTCAAGCAGACATGACATATAGTGAAATATGTTGCACGACTCTGGGATATGGAAAAGTTAAAACGAATAATGTATGCATGTATTATAATGCATAATATGATTATTGAATATGAATGTAGAGCGATTTGCATGTACGATGAGAACGACATAGGTACCCCGACTTAAGAGTTCATAACCGGTTCAACTAAATTTTTAGCAAAAGTAATTGAAATTCAGAACACTGAAACTCAATCTTTTAGAAGATCTAACGGAGCATATGTACCAAAACAACATGAACGAAGAATAGTAACATCTTTGAATTATGTTTTTTTATGGAACTTTTATGTTATGTAATTTTATGATTATTTTTGATTGAAGGTAGAGCGATCTAGCGGAACATGTGTACCAAAACACATAGGTGACATCAATTTATTCTCTATAATCTCTCTTCTATTATTCTCAACACATTACACACGTAACACATGTTTCTGAACCCTCTCAACACTCTTAAATTTCATTAAAAATATTAAAATATTTACTAAACCGATAATTGAAATGGTTAAACGATAATTAAAATCCTAAAACAATAATTAAAATCTTAAATGATAATTAAAAGGGTTTTATGTGAAAAAATCTCATTATTTTGGGAAATTTTTTGATAAAGTTTTAAATATTTTTTTTTGAAAAGACAAATCGCATTATTTGGGAAATCATGTAATATTTCATTTCCTGTTAAAATAAAAAAATAAAATTTTTCGTTAATTTGGGCAAAATGTTAAATAATCAGGACTTTTCTGTTTAAAAAAAATTATGACTTTATCAAAAAAATTTCCAAAATAATGAGATTTTTCTGCATAAAATTCATAATTGAAATCCAAATGTATAAGTACTTAAACATGTGGCATAAGTACTAGAACATGCGGGAGATAAAGAGAGTTATGGGTTGGAAATGGTCATGAACCCGTCTAGCCTAACCCAAGCTGGGAGCGAAACCGCCAGGACCGCTGACCCCACGGCTTTTTCCCACCAAAATCGACCAACTCCGTGCACCTTTAGTACTAAAAAAACTAAAAAAAGAAAAAAAAAATCCATTGAACCAGACCAAATCAATCTAGTCCGTGGTATGGACTTAAAAACAAAAAAGAAAAAAAAAAGAAAAAGGAAAACTTAACGGATGGAACCATTAGAGATCGGATCCAATGATACTACTCATCATGTAGAAATTACCAAGTCGAAATTTATCTTATTTAGCCTACCAACAAGAGATGGAAAAAATACTCGTACCCATCAAAGAATCCACTCAAACCCGAATTGACCGGGGAAGGAGATACCCCTCGGTCCCAACCACAATACTTATATAATCTCTAAATAATAATCTAAACTGTATAAGCTATTTTCTTAAAAAAAAAATGATCAAACTCAACATGTCAGACTCCAAACAAAAGCTCACCAATTTATAAGCATTTCAGGGCAGTTCCTAAGCCCTTAGAGTTTGGTCGAATTCATATGAATCTACCCACGTGACAAAATGTAGAAAAACGAACACAACATATTCAACAAATCTCCAAATGACTCGCTGTTTCTTGCGTTGCAGAGTAAACTTCCAAATCTTTCCAACCATATACTATACAAAGTAAATCAAAATACAAACAATTGATCATCAGTTTTTCCTACAAACCATCAAGTTGAAGATTTTGGACGATCATGTCGTTTTTTCATGCTCACATTTTTGTAATTTGTTCAAACTCACACTCTGGATTAATATTTTTTTTTCACACATTTTTATAGAACAAAACACACATTTACCACATTATAAAAGTAACAACACACTTTCGCCTTTTTACGGATATATGTACCTTGACTTTGCCCATATACCATCAAATCCAAACAAACACACACACCTTGACCATTCTTTCAGAACGGATTTGACCTAAACAGAACTTGTCCCATATACACATCTATGCCACTTTAACAAAACAAGACTTAGACCAAGTCTCTTGCTAACCTATTGTGTAATTCATACTAATATCTTAATAAGCTCCATATCATATATGCTTTCTTGTCTTGCTCATTTTATATACTAAATATTATTCTATCAGCAACCGTGAGATTGCCCACACTGCTTGCTAACACAGTGCCCACAATGAGCCCAATCCACACTGGAATAAAAACTCATGTACCGCTTTCACTATCAAAGGTGCATGATAAGTCCATATTGACAACAAAAGACACAAGAAAGACAAAAGGAATGGATATTATAGTAAAACAATGAAACCGTATAGCATCCCTCGAGGTCAAACCACAATTCCAGTGTGCCCATCAAGGAAAGATTCTGCAGATAAAAGATCACAAACACGTTACTTAATTTTGCTATAAATATAAACAAGAAATATTTGTATATATAAAAAGTCAGTCATTAATTACTTGAATATGATTGGCCATGTCACGAGCTTTGTCAATTGTGGTAGTAACACTGAAACAAAAGGCTTGTAGAAGACGTCACACAACAACCATACATCAATCAAATCAAACAAATGTTTTCAGAACTATGTGCACAGATCGACAGAAATCAAAAGTATGAACAATCAAACAAACAAAAAAAAAAAAAAAAAAAAAGATTCACAGAAGCTAAAACCCGAGAGTTGATTTTTGGATTTTTTTAGTTGTTGACCTGAAAAGGAAGAAAGATGTGATATTGTGATGTGACCTGTATTAAGTGAGCTTTGGGCTTTATACATATAGCTTCTGAATCATGAATCATGAATCATGAACAATGAACATGAACCCATTCAATTTACATTCATAGTGAATAGTGATAGCTTCTTCAGCAAGGCACAAAAGCTGCTGAATTGGCGGTATATGTGAAATGACAATACACACCCTCACGAGTTTACTTAGCAGAAGAAATACGGCGTAAGGAGGAAATCCAACTGCTGGAAGGACCTGTTGTTGTAGTAGTAGTAGTCGTGTCTGGAATTGGATGATGATTAGTGTTGTTGTTGGAGTCTGATGGTTTTGTTGGGTATCTTTTTGGGCCAGATGATGATTGTGGCATTTGCAAATGACTCAACATCTGCCACGTCAGCATTATATACAGTTACTTTAGTTTCAATATATATATATATATATATATATATATATATATATATATAAAAGTTAAAAAAACAGATGGTTTACGTTTCTTTCGGGAGGATTTTCGGGAGTCATTCGGTTGATTGGTGATTTTATTTGCATTCGGATGCCAGGACTGGCGACTTTGTTTGAAAGGAACACAACACACACACACACATGTTAGTTTGATGAATATTATCTTAATTTATTTTTTTCTTATAAATATATTATTTGATCTCTAACCTTGATGTTTTTCCATATCTTTTCGAATGGCCCCACTGCTGCTTTCTCCATGACCTGTCTGTAAAAGATGGATAGTTTTTATTAGACAAATTAAGAAATATTATATGAAGAGAGAAACTACATTGAAAGAGCACTAACTAACCAATCCATGTGGTTGAGTTTTATTCTTTTGTGACTGTTGGTATTTAAGAATTGTCCAATCAAAGATATAATCAAATTCAAATCCTGCAACACAAATATAAAAATATTATTTGCATGAAGTAGCTTTTCATGAATTTCACTCGATATAAAATTGGTGTTCTTTATTGCAAATTTATAAATTGCCACAAAAATACCTTCACGAGTGAATAATTCTCGGAATAAACGTTTGAGAAATCCATAATCAGGTCGTTGATCAAATGTCAATGAGTGGCAATAATGGAAGTATGAAGCAAATTCCACAGGGTGAGACTTGCATAGAACCTTAATGAATTGAAATTGTAAGGCATAACAGAAAAAAAAAATGAAGATTTAAACTCAATTAGATAAATGACATGGTATATTGGCATGTATTCACCTCAATTGGAGTTGACAATTTCTTCTCACATATTTTGTCATACTTCTGCTTCTTTGTGGCAGCTTTTAGACCCTGCCATGGAAGGCTAGACACAAAGTTTATGTTAACAAAATTAACATTGAAGGAATTATAAAACTAAAAAAAATATACATCACAGCAAAATTGGGTACCTTCCTCTAAGAAAATATAGAAGTACATATCCAAGAGACTCTAAATCATCACGTCGACTTTGCTCTAGAAAAGAGACAACAAAAATGAATTTTAAGTTTTCTCCTATATTTTAGGGTGATAATATCATTCATTCAAGTTCAGTGAAAGCTATTCTTAGTTCTTACCAATTCCAAGATGAGTATTGCAACTTGCATAACGTGCTGTTCCAGTTAAATTTTTGTTCTCCCTGAAAAAATAGGTAGCAGAATTTATAAAACCATTGAATCTGTGATTTGAAATCATGGAAGAAAAGGGATAATGGGATATTCAAATTTGGGAAGTCTATATCTATATATGCCAAATTGAAAGGTATACCTGTAAGGAATGTGTCGATGGGTTGTTGCATCACGATATCTTTTTGCAAGCCCAAAATCGATAATATAAACCTAATGGATAAAATCATAAAATGAAAGCATATGTGATAATGACATCATTGCAAAATGCCTTAGCGATTTGAAACAAACAAAGTAAGGCCTTTATTATTACCTGGTTTGCTTTTCGACCAAGACCCATGAGAAAATTATCAGGCTTGATATCACGATGCAAAAACCCTTTAGAGTGTACATACTCGATTCGTGTAATCTACACACACAAAGAGATTAGCTTCTTAATTGCTATAGTGAAGAACAAACATGTAATGACCTAACAGAAACTATAAGGTCCAAAACCTAGAAGTTGATGTCTATAGAATGGAAGTATACTGTTTGAATAGGGTGTACAATAGATGGATAGTTACCATTTGATCAGCCAACATTAAGACCGTCTTTAATTGAAATTTCCTCCCACAATAGACAAATAGGTCCTCAAGACTTGGTCCCAGCAAATCGAGTACCAAAATGTTATCCTCTCCATCTACACCAGACCATTTTATGGCAGGTATACCACCTACACGTGAAAACAACGATTGGAAATTGATGTAATGATATATATCATTTCTCAATAGAAGACATGAAAGGGAAGGAAAACATGTATATCTTTGTTATGATAATGCTATACGTACTTCCTCCCTGAAGAATATTGTATAACTTGGCTTCATATAGAAGTTGAGGATGTTTTGTCTTATTGTTCTCCTGCAGAGTCAGAAAAAAATATCTCGACTGAGTTCATGTTACACTAAAATAAGCAATGCATGTACAAAACTATGAGTTCTTATGGATTACTTTCACTTAATTCAGTCTCTGTAAACTTAACCTTAACCTTAAGCAAAAGTAAATAAACAATATAAAGGTAGTACAACATAGACAGCCAAAGGAAGTAAGGAACATGCTCTGATTACTTCACATCATAGATAGATTAGACAATTTTTATTGCAGAAACACCAATGGCATGCTAAGTAGCTGGAATACCATTGCAAACAATCTCGATTCAAGCTAAATCAGTTCATAATCGGACTAAAACCTGCTACAATTCGGATCCTAAGCCTCAAATTCAATGCTCCCTAACCCTAGTGTGACAAACTCACACCGATTACGTTCAGATTCAGCAATTGGAAGCAATATTCAACATAATAACTAGTTAACTACAACTATCTCATATGGTGTACTATAAACTGGATACGCGACCTCACAGTAGCTGACCTTCTAGTTCAATCGCAATAAAACCAATCTAAAAAGTCATTCTTCAAACATAATAGTAAATTATCAAACTAATCGAAAAATGAACAAAAAAGTAACTGCAATTAATCATGTTCAACACTTACGATCTTCACGGCGACGATTTCAAACGTATCAACATGCGTGGCTGCACAAAAAATCCTTAACTCTCTCAAGTTCAATTTCAACAAAACTTACCGATTTAAGAAAGAACAACAAAAAGTAAAAGTAAAACCTAGATGAATTTCACCGAAGGATCCACTTCCGATCTTCCGACCGAGTTTGTACTTTCCTCCGACTATCCTGTCCATATATGTAGATACGCGTTTTCCAGATCAACAACAACAGCTTGACGAAAAATGAAACTGGAGCAGGTCTTCCTCGAAAATTTGAAGGAGATAAAGATGAAAGAATTATTGGAGAGATGAGAGGATTTTGTTTATGTATTTGTTTATTTTATTATATTATATTTTGTTATCCAAAAACAGAAACTAGTAAGTGCGTATGGCTTCGTTAACTGTTGGACCGAGGACTTAAGTTGGACAAAACGCGTAGGGGGGTAAGATGTCATAATATTTTTGTAAGAGGGTAAGATACGATGATAATATGAAATGAAGGGTAAGATTTTATAATACGGTGTAACGGGGTGTCGGTTGTTGGCGAGATGAACAGAAATCATAGGTGTCAACCTTTGAGTTTTGAGGGTAGTGAAGTTATATAACAAGAGTAAACTGTTAGGGTTAAAAGCTTAAATTAGCATCTTTGTTAAAACTTTGGACGTGTTCGGCACGTAGTTTTTGAGAGCTTCTGACTTCTAACTTTTAAGAAAAAGTCTCGTTCGGCAACGGGAGCGTTTAGCTTTTAGCCTAAACAAAAAGCTCCAAAATCAAAAGCTACGTGAAGTAGCTTTCAACAAAACGCTCCAAAATCAAAAGCTACTCGCTACTCGCTACCAGCTAGTTTTTGCCGAACATGCATTTATGTATCGAACATTAGATGTTTTTTTTGGGAGTTAGAGGATTTAATGACACAATTGCATCAATTACCGTTAAAGCGATATTGGATAACTTTTAATTTGATTTTTTCTTGTATTAATATTTGACTTTTATTAAAACATAAAAGTTTTAAATATACATATCGGTAAATGAACAACAAATTATATATATATATATATATATATATATATATATATATATATATATATATATATATTCTTATTGTAGTGCAAGAGAGTGGTTGGGACTTGGGTGGTAAGAAATTTCGTGTCGATATTGAAAATGAAATAATATATTGTATCTTTTTTAAATGTGTTAAAAGATAAGGATTTATTGAAATAAAAAGTTTTATGAAATTCCTTGTCAACAAATGACATGTTAAGGATAAAAAAATGGCCAAAACAACTAGTCATCACGATAATTAGCGGGTTTATTGCAAAATAATATGTATTCAGTTTTTTAATGTATCAAGATATAAGGGATTTCTAATAATTAACCTAAAAGTCAGAGGGTGAGAAATCAAAAAGTTGAACAAAGAAGGATGCACGAATTATTAGAGTATTATGTGTACGTGACACATGTTGCATGTGTACATCATCATTTCCAACAAAAATACCTAAGAATTTGAAACCTTTGAATTATAAATAAAGGTCTAACTGAACCCACAATTCCTTTCTCTTCCAACTCAATTGTCATATCATTTTTTCTCTCTCAACATAGAGGGAAATAATTATTTTCTCTTTCAAATCACTTGTCACATCAGTTTTCTCTCTCATCTCACTTCCACCGCTCCTATCTCACAATACATGAAAACTCATCTTTCTCATCACTCCCAACCTGTAACGACCGAAAAAATCCAATTTCTTATTAAGAAATTAAGGAAAATTGGTGTTTATGGATATAGAAATCAAGAATTTGGAAGTAATTGCTATTTGAAAAAGTCAACATGGTGAACTGACGTCGTGTGGCTTAAAAGATGTGACGCAGGGTCAAAAACGCATCACAAAGATTCAATAAATGTGTTGTGTGTGGTTGTGTGGGTGACAATTAATGTTGCAGGCGAGTAGGACACATGACAAGAGGTTGGGACACGAAGCAGTGTCTCAGTGTGACACGTGGGTATTGCATGTCAACGTGTATCACAACTAGTATAAATACCTTATAACTGTCGATGAGAACTACGAAAACTCAAGCAACGACTTGTAGCTTAAAGAAGCACGTATTAGTGTTGATATACGAGGAACTGATCACAGAACGAGATAAGGTATTCTATCATCTCGTTATTATGTAACTTGGTTATAGAAAGGTTGTTAAAACCCTAGTCGGTTAGTCGACTTTATAATATGGTGTTATTATGAACTAACCAGAGTTTAACAGTTGAATTCCACGGTGGGATTCTTGATCCGATTGACAAGAGTTATAAACCCTAAGTTATAGGATGATTATAAGTGACTAATTGAACTGACGATTTACGTGATAAGCCATTTAATAGATTTAGTATAAGACTTTGATGAGTCTCGTAACAAATAGTTACCAGGTTCGGTTAAGGGTCGAATAAATGACCACTATGGTAGATGTGACAGTAAGCCTATACAAGTTTCTAAGGAACATGGTATCTTGATTAAATAGTGTTGGTGATTTTAGTGTCACCTAGCATTTTGTGTAATTGTGTCACACCCCCAAACCGGAACGGCATTGTAACATCCGGATTCCCAGGTATCTTAAATTATGTATTTTATTGAGTTTTGGAGAGAGACTCGGCGAGTAGGCGCTCAGACTCGCCGAGTAGAGTCGCGAATCTCCATCCGGGTTAATGACTGGACTCGGCGAGTCCATACGTGGACTCGGCGAGTCCACGCTGTTTAATGAAACCCTAATTTCTCGGGTTTGGGGACTATTTAAAGGCCCTTATGGCCGTCATTTGAGGTCACCAGTCATAGAGAGAAACCCTAGAGTGCTTGAGCGTTTTGGGAGAGGAAGGAAGCCATTTTTTTGACCTTGGGAGTGTTGTTTAGCAAGAAGAAGGAGGTACTAGCCAAGAGGAAGCATAGGAGATTGCTATTCTGTGGATTTGGAGCTAAGATCTTCACATTTGAGGTAGTAATTCGACTCCCCTTCTGTTCTTATGATGATCATATGGATTTAGGGTTTCTTAGACCCTTTGTTGCTTAGATTTGAAGCCCAAATAGTCCCTTATGATGAGGAGGCTTTGGATCTGGATCCATAGAGGTCCAGAGAGCCTTATTCATTAAGCTTTTTGAATAACAATGGAGGCTATGACCTTGAGTTATGGTATTTGGGGCTAAATCATCATATATGATCAAATAGATGTTGTATGTGCATCAAGATGGAAACTTTACGTGGTTATTGGGTTTGGGAATGATAGATCTATTGGTTAGAGGACTGGATCTGACCTCAGGAAGTTGTTTGAGGATGTGCATGGAATGAACTCGCCGAGTCCATGAACGGACTCGACGAGTAGAGTCGGGTAGCCCCGCGACTCGCAATCTGTGACGACTCGTGGAGCATAGGGTTGACTCAGTGAGTCGGAGGGAATTAGAGGACTGGAGTTCAAGGCGGAACTCGCCGAGTCCATGAACAGACTCGGCGAGTTGAGGCGGGGTGGCCCCGCGATTCATGCCAGGTGTCACCCGTCGAGTAAGGGGAAAGACTCGACGTGTCATGCGAGATCAGAAAGATAGTGGGCACGTGTAGACTCGCCGAGTCGCCCAAGTGCACTCGGCGAGTCGGGTCAAAGTTTGACCGTTGACCTTTATTGACTTTTAGGGTTTGGTCAACTTTAGGGTCTTTGAGCCATGAGAGGGGTAAAATGGTCTTTTACCCTTCTGAGAGTACTAAGAGGAGGAATAGTCTAGCCTTGAGAGATGTATTGATTCAGAGTGTTTATTTCATATGATTAGGCGGAGGCTAGACCCGACTTTACAGAGTTCGAGCTTTACCGAGTTAACCGAGGTGAGTCTTCTCACTATACTTTACCTAGAGTGGTAATTAGAGCTATGAGACAGAGTATTGTGTATGCTTTTGCATGATGTGATTTCTATGTGTTATATGTTATGTATGTTACAGAGTTTTTAGAGTTAGGACCGGAAGGTCCACAGAGTTAGGGTCAGAGGACCCATAGAGTTAGGGCCAGAGGGCCCACAGAGTTATGGGACTGGGGGGTCCCACAGAGACACTTTGACCAGAGTGTCAAACAGAGTTATAGCCTCGAGTGGCTAATATGTGTTATGTGTGGTATTTTGGGGAACTCACTAGGCATTTATGCTTACAGTGTTGTGTTATGTGTCTCAGGTACCAGCGAGGATCGCGGGAAGGCGCCGGCTTGATCAGTACACACGCAGGGAGATTTTATTATGATCTTGGGAGATAATGTTATGTGATACAATGGTGTTTTTATAACGATTATGAATGAAAACGTGTTTTATAAAATGTGAAAAATTGTTTTGAAAATTGGGTGTTACAAGTTGGTATCAGAGCCTTGGTTTGAGGGATTCGGATTCATCTTCGGGCGTATCTGAACTCAAACTGAGGATTTGAGAGAAATTTTGATGACTAAAAACTTTTTAAAAGAGTAAAAAGAGTTTTGAGACAAACAGAGCAGAGCCGTGTGTACGATCAGCCAGCGCCCCAACGGTGATTTCCCAAAATACCCTTGTAATTAGTGTTATGAGATATAATATGTTATGATATATGATGAGTTATGCTATGCATGCTAGAGTAGACTAGGTATTCTTATTAGGACTAGAGTGGCCTAATATGTGATGCCTTAGTCTAGAAGTTTTGCTGCTAGGGATACTTGAGAGTGTTTAGATAGCAGCGAGGAGTTTATGAGAGAGCTGCTAGTGAGTAGCATATGGTTAAAGAGAGTAGAGTACTTGGGACTTGGGATCCAAGGAGGAGGACTTAGAGTGGATGCTGATGCCGTGTGGACGGTAGTATAGGGCCCGTACTACTGAAGACATCGGAGCAGTGCGCACCCTAAGTAAGAATCCATTGGGTACTAAGGAGCAAGTAGGGTGGAGTTATCGAGTGCGAGTATACTCGAGCGAGTCCCTGATATTTATTATGTTGTATTTCAGAGACATCATGGTTGGGACACGCCACACACCAGAGAGCAGCGGTACTAGTGATGAGGAGATCCGTAGGATCATTCATGAGGAGGTGGCTGCGGCCATCAGGGCAGAGATACCAGAGATGTTCGGGTCTATCAAGACCACACTGATAGAGACATTTGACGAGAGATACGCTGCTCTTTCTGAGGCTGCGGTTGCTGCGGCCACTGCAGCTATAGCTGCGACTAGGCCGCAGGGTGGTGATGCGTTGCTGTTTCGTGAGTTCAGCAACACAAAACCACCGGAGTTTGATGGGACCCAGGACCCGATTGCAGCGATGAGGTGGATATCAGACATTGAGGGGTGTTTCTTTACTTGCTCATCTCCAGAGCATTTGAGAG